GGGGGGAGAAGGTCAAACCAAGAACTTAATATGTGGTTGTGTGTGTCCAAAAGCAACAAGGAAGACTTCACTAGTTCAGTTGTTATTGAAATGCTGGTGGATGTGTGAATTCCCTGGGAGGAAGATTTTTGTCATGTTTCTGAGTTGCTGCCCAGATTTTGTTGGTGAATAGCATTAGACGTTTGTGCATTATTAAGGTGAGTGCAAGCAAAGTGGAGTTGGAACTCATTTCAAAACAGGAACTCCTTTAGGTTTGTACGCTTTAATTCTTTTCTCTCCTTGCACGATGTGACAGTGAATGAGGGTGTGTGTATGTAAAGGAGCTTGTCTTAGCACTGGTCTGTTTCAGAGACCATGTATGGGTAAAGCAGTTCGGCTGGTTCAGCTCCTGCTCCTCCCTCTCTGGGAGCTGAGCAGAATCTCTTCTGCTGAAAGGGTTGTTCCACTTTCTGCTTTCTATATTTGTCCAGCAGAGCACACTGGCTCACCAGGCAGTGTGGCTGGCCTGGTGGGCATTTGCTAAGCAGAATTGAGAGCCAGGGCTTACAGTCTCTGTTATGTCCATCTGTCTGTCTGTCTCCACCTCTCTGGATACGACTGGTGTTCCGAGTGAAAGGCAATCTGTTTGTGGTTGTTGTCTTTTTTAAACTGCAGTTCATCCAAACTTGGGAGTCTAGGGACTGGAAATGGAGGAGTTGTCTTGCAGGGGCAATTTGTAGTGGGTGCCAGTGGCATCAGAAAGACCCAGATTTAACCTCCAAAAGAGATGCAGTCTTCTGGGGTGGGGATTTTAATCTCCCTTCCTGCTTTGGGGAGTGATTAGCCAAGGCCCATATCCTTCCATAAAAGGTCTGTTGTCACTGTCTGCCTTGAAGATTAATGAAAGCTAGATCCTGTCCTGGAAGATCTGAGTGCTGTGTTTGCTTGTTATGGGCAATGGGGATTAATGAGGAGCTAGACCCTGGCCTGCCTAGTTTGGAATCAGGACTTGGTGTTCAGGGCTGGGGCCTGTAGGAAATACCTTGTTAGGAAGGGCTGGAAACTTGCAGCTAAGACTTCCCTGTGTGCTTGCGTAAACTTTGTGTTAAGGCACTGCACACGTTGGGATTACTATTCACAATTGCTTTTTAAAATAGTAAATCAGTTGAACAAATAGTGCAGAATGTCTGTTAGCTGCTACACTGTAGTAAACTGTTGATACAATCTTTGAGTAGCAGAAAGGTGCTCAAAATAGTGGCAGCAATTGAATACACCATTAACTGTGGCAATAAGTTTTTGAGAGGGAGAAAGAAGGCAATTGTTTATAGGATACTTTTTCTAAACTTTAAGAAATACTGTCCCCTTAAAAATTCTGCTGTCTTTTGAATATCTTTGCAAATAGGCATCAGCCTTTTGTTTTTGGAATTTGAGAGAAGAAAACATTGTTTCAGTTGTGAAATTGATTTTAGCAAGAGTCTGCCTTTTCTGTTGAGGACCATGTTCTATGAACTCAGAATTATTTTTCTTTCCTACCACTGCAGTGTCTTCAATGTATTTCCTCCTGAGAGAGCTGTGTGTCTCTTGGATTTGGAAGGACATTTTGTAGGCAAATTGGTGGGTCTCAGCTGCCTGGCAGTGTCAGGATTGTACTGATGGCTGCAGGCAGGGACCTGTCATTGATGTGTGACAGAGGGTCATCTTCTTGAACTGAATGAACTCAAGCAAATTAGTTGTGTGGCTGTTTTCTGATCACTGTTTGTTTAATGGAGACACGCTGCAGTAGTTTTTTGCCTTCTTCATGTGGAAATCCTGCAGAATTTGTTGTAAATATGCAACCTGTGGCATGTTAAGCTTGTTACCTGAAGTATCTTGGTATTTTGCCTAATTCTGGCATCCTCTGCTAGAATTAGGTCCTCTGCCCACCTGTCTTCCCACTTTTCCACTTGCTGACTCTCTAGCTGACAACCTTTCATATAAATGAGTTACCAGTTAAAATTAATTCTTGGTACTGTTTGAGGCCAGTGATTGGAGTTTTGTGATTCCTCAGCTTTCAGGAGTTTTCTTGTAGCATACTCACTATTTCCTCCAAGTAGTCTTGGAGCAGGACTATAACTAGGCAGTTTCAAAGGCCCCTTGGAGGTGCACTATTGCATGTTTAAAACTACTGTGTGTGTGTTCTGTGAAAGATGCCATGATAATGGATAGAACTCGGAATAAATAATAAATATATGTGCACCAAAGGGATTTGAGTAATAGAATGGCACTGGGGAATTTCAGTCATACCATTTTGTTTTAATCTTCCCAAAGGCAATCTGTGAGAAAATTACATTGGTCAGAGCTAAGCCAAACTCTCAAGACAGGAAATCTTGTGTGCTGTATATACTTTTGTTTTTAAGGGAGAATACCCAATAATCCATTGTATCTTGACTGTTACCCAGTCTGCAGAAAAGATTTAATCAGGGTATGAGACAAATGAAAAATTAACTTTTGTCTTATGTCCTTTGAAGATACTGAAATTCCACAAGAAGGCATATTTTTTTATTTTCTTCTTGTCCTATTCCTTGCTTTTTTCTTTCTTTTTTTTTTTTACAAAAATAAGCCCTTTATAAATACTATAATTACACAGGTGCATAATAAAGTTAGGTTAAGGGTGGGCATATGGGAAGATTACAGGAATTTTAACTTAAGTCCAGTGTGCATTTCAAATTGATGGAACTTAAAACTGCTATTGTGAAGTATTTACAACTCCAGGAAGAGTGAATGAAAATTGAAAGACATTTACTTGTGATTTTAAGAAGTTAAACCATATTGTTTAATCAAGAATATGGAGTGACATGTCTCTAATATCTGAGGCAGTCCACTGACAAAAGAATTGGAGCAGAGAAGATGATTACATGGAAGGACATGTATATAGTTCTTACAAACATAGTGTTTTCTTAACAGAAGCAGTGGACACCTTGTTTATCACTTGAGGCCTTTAAAAAGCATCAATCAGTAGAAATTTAATTGTGTGAAATTCAGTACCTAAATCTGATGATCTAGTTCCATGAGTAATTTAAATGAGCATCTGCCAGTATTGCTCTGAAAGAGGTTTGTGCCATTTCTCATGCATTTTTCCTTTCCTTGGTGCTACCAAGAACATCTGTGTGGTTGTGTAGTGAATTGAATCTAGGAGCATGTCTGGGTTAAAACTTAATTTCCTGTTGTTGGTAGTGGACAAGATCACACCTTGACTATTTCCTCTCTCAGGCTTGTTACACAGAGGTGGGATGGACAGCTGGTGAGGAAAGAGTTGTGCCAAAACTGCTCTTTTGGCAACAGCACCAGCTTAAACTGGATCTATAGCAGGAGTATCTCAATCTATTCCTCTGTATTTCTTCCCCGTTTCTATTGAATGTTATGAAGAGCTCGTATCTAGTCTTCTCAGTTGTAAAACCTGAAAATACTAAGTGAGAATTGTTTGCCTGTGTTGCCTGCTGGGGCACTTATAATTTGGTTCTAGACAGGGAAGTCCTAAATGTTGTTTTAACATACTTCTTAATGACTGCAGTATTTGGTACACAGTGTTTGATGCTGCTCTACAGAGAGCCTGCTGTTCATTTGGGAAGAAATTGATGAGCTTTTCTGATGTGAGGGCAGAGAGAAAATTATGTGCCACATAGAGTGCTGCATGTGAGGTTTTGGAAGTATAAGGTGCCTCCAGAATCTAGGCACAAGGTATGGAGAATTCAGAAAGATATTTATTTTATATCCATTCTGCATGCTTATGCAGCCAAAGCTGTATTAGAGCAGTTGTTTTTGCCATAAAGTTTATGGAGTCTCATCCTGCTAGTACTGGAAAACTGCTAGCAGGTGTCATACTGTGCCTTCCAGTAAAAGTGATGGAAATGAATTGATGGATGAGTGTGTAAGTGAAGAACATCTGAAAATACATGAATAAGACTTCAAGCAAGGACTGAACCTCTAGCTCTTGGCAAAGTACATTGACACTCTTGAGCCTTCTTCACCCATCCAGCTAAAATCTAAGATCAAGTTATGGATTCAGCCTTGTACAGCAGGGAGAGTTTCTGAAGCTTCGGGAAGAGAGAGGAGCAAGCAGAGTTTGCTGTGCTGACACAAGAGTCAGTGAGCATCAAGCACTGGAGATGAGCGGCCTGGAGAGGGTGTGTCAGGGTCACAGATGGACCAGGAGGATAGTTTGTGGAGTAAAAAGCTGCTGATATCAGCAGGAAAGGCATTCTATTAGTTGTATTCACATGTTTGTAATGAGGAAGGAAAACTTCTTCGGACAGAGGAAAATTCATCTGAGGTGTGGCATTACATCTGTGATTGGTAGTCACGCAAAAATGGTGCTTCATGGCATGTGTTAGTGTATTCACGTGTTCTCAGCAGATCGTAAATGAAAGCACTTTTTTGTGCTTCATGGCATGTGTTAGTGTATTCACGTGTAAGATCGTGCAGATCGTAAATGAAAGCACTTTTAAAAATAAGTTTTTCTGTATTATTTACACTTGTATGTTTCAGATACTAGATAAAGATACTGAAGAGGGGAGTAAATGTTGCAAAAAGAAATTAAATATATACAAATGATGTTACAAATGATGACAAATGAGAAACCTTCAGAGATCTGGACTAGAAGCTTAGTAAGAACTGCTTTGCAGTGAAATGGCTACATTTTATTAAATTTGTGTTTTAGAGCAAAAGTGGAACATTCCTAAGTTGATGTTCCCACAGCAATGCCAGCATTTGACTCTGATGGAGAAAAATAAATAGTATGAAATATTTTTTAGAGCTTCAGCTCTATACACCCAGTATTAAATTTCTTCAAGTGTTAATAAAAATTATTTGCTGTTAAAAGTGATTTGAATCAGGGTTCATTGGTTATAATAGAGCAGTAACTCCAATTCTTTGCAGATGTAAATGAGTGTAATTTGTATCCATTTACTTCTGCAAAGGATTTACCATGTGCCTGTTACAAAATAAAGATAAAAATGATTGAGCATATTTTTACTCTTTGGTTTGCAGGCGTGGCAATGGCAGATTCTGCACGGTAGAGTTCATGGCAATTATTTGTCTAATATAAGCCAAGCAAGACACATACAAGCTTCAGGTAAATCAGTCTTTCTTAGTTGTGCTTCTTTGAAATAAAATATAAATATTTATTCTTTAATATTTTTCAAATACAGAAATTCAGATCTACTCAGAATTTTGTATACAGTTCAGTTCTGATCTTTCAAAACTGGGACACCTCAAAATTATTTTCCTCCTGAAGCTAGCAGTAGATGCTGGAAACAGCCATGTACACTGTGTCCTCCTTTGGCATTTTAGGTGTGGTAATACAGATTAGTGATTGCATGTGGGGATCTTGGTGGGAGACCTGCAGTACATCTTTATTCTCTATTTGCTTTTGAATCTATTCCCTTTTGTACAATCAGAAAAAAGGTGTGTTAGTATCTTGAATTTTTAACGCAGAGCTATGCAAGTTGTGTCTGTCTAAACATTGCACAGGGGTGGTTTCCCCATTGAGATTATTTTTTTATCTTGCCTTTAAAGATAGGTAAGTTCAAAGTATTAGTGTTTGAATCTTGTGGCTGAGATGGATGAGGTTGTTAAAGTTCAGCTAAAGTTCAGTTGCTTCTAGGGGTAGATTTAGTGGTTAAGCTGAAAATATTGTTTGTGTTCACTAAAACTCAATCTTTACCCAAAAGAAGACCAAACTCTGCTGTATGTGATAGGTCTTCCTGTGGCATGTAGAGTCTCCATAAAGCAAAACATGAATGCAAGCTTTCTGACCTTCATTCAAAAAGTAAGTGAAATGTTGCTTTAGTTTGTACCTTCTCTGTTTGCAACTCCTGGTATATTATGAGAGTCCCTTAACACCATAATCTGGAGAGAGATAACAAACTAAAGTCTTTTGTTGGTGAGATTCTTTGGATTTTATTAACAGACAGATGTTTTTTGAATTTTTTTTTTGTGAAGTTGTTCAGAAGGTTTTCAGCTGAGATGCAACTGTAACAATGTGATCATACCCCTGACTCTGATTAAATACATTCTGTCTCTAGTTTTCAAAATACCTTTTCACAAAGAAATAAGATTATTATTTCTTTGTACATGTTTGTCCATATCGTACAAATGGAAACTCTTAGGACCAAAAAGTTGCTATTCCGCCACATAGTTAATAATACAAGTTGTGTCTTCTAAGCCCCAATCCCATGTTTTCAACAGTAGATCATAGGATTGGTTTGTATTGTTAAAGTGTGTGTTTGATGCTTTCATTTTGGGTTGTAAGATTTAATGACCAATCTTGGAGCTGTTTGAGTTGTAAATGCTGACTAGACATGGAACAGACATTGCAAATATGATCAAATCCCAAATCTTGAGTATCTTATGATGTCCTGGTTAGAGTAACTTGAAACATAGCATTTTAAAAGTTTTCCTGTCTTTTCATCTTTATCTGCAGTGGTCCCAAAATGTGCACCTCTTCTATTCTTCATTCTGTTCTTCCTGTTACATCTGAAGTTGAAAAAACTTACTTTCTTATAGTAGAACATGCTGTTATGAGTAATTCAACTTCTAACTGTATAGTTTGTCTGCTACCCTCTTACCCTTAAGTGTTTGTGCTGGCAGCGCTGAGAAAAACAGTATTTGACAGCTCTGTCTGCCAAAATAAACTGAGCAGGCGCAGAGACTGATCTGTGGCCTCCCATTGAACAAGTAGCTTCTGGTGCTGAGAGGTTTGGGTGGTGTAAAGATTGCAGTAGAAGGGCACTTCTCAGATAAAAAAGTTCCTTCGCTGGTGAGGTTTTTGTACCTTAGGAGTTTCCCCTTGGTGTCTTTGTTGTGTGTTGCCTCATTGGTAAGGGCTGCTACAAAGTGACATTTTTGTGGGTTGTGGCTTGGGCTGTGATTGCAACTTCAGTGATTGAAACTTCCTCTGGTTTCTGTAGGACTCTCAGTTTGTAATCCGTGTAGTGCACTTGCTCCATCGCTCTTTGATGCATCCTTATCTCCCTCCTGTACTTCTTCCAAAGAAATAGTTCTTTCTGTATTCTCAAATTTTCATTATTGGTCACATGGGTTCCTAAAAGTATGTAAATCTGCAGTGAGGCCAGACTGAGCACTGATTTATGTGAGAGACTGTTGACGCCAGGATGTATCTGAGGCTGACCTATGTGGTCTGTTTGATCTGTTGGCCTCTTTAATTGTCAGTGGTAACCTTGACAATCCCATGAACATTAGTTCCTGGAAAGCATAATGAGAAATCAGAACTAACTGGTCTAGACACAGTGCTGACTATGACAGTAATTTCATTGATCAGAATCCATTAAATGATCTGGTATTCTCTTAGATGGTCCCAGGTGCTGGTGAGACAAAAGTTTTACCACTTAGTAGAAAAACAATATTACTAGATTTATTGGGCTCATATCCATTGTCTAGTACTTAGTGGATAGAGCCACTTGTTTTCATTACTGGCTGTAGTTCTATTTATATTTTATTGCATATCAAAAGTTGCAGCTATTCATCAGCAAGAGTATATTTTGTCACCTTTAGATCTGGCAGGGCCGTTAAATCTAAGCATGAAAGCTTTGTTTTTCTACATGGAGTACTCAGGTAGTGTCAGTAGTTCCTCCCAGCTTTGTGCAGTAGTTGAAAGTGACAACTTTCAACTTTTTACTCAGCTGCAGCACCTTAGTCAGGGGACAACTTCAGGAAAATTTTTATAAAAGCTGTGGTGAGAGATCTGAATTTACCCCATTAATTGTTTTGCTGACGGCACTAAGCACGCTCAGGCACCTATGAAAGCAGTTGGCTCTCAGCATCAAATGCTGGCTGGGGGAAACCTACTTTGGTACAAGAGTTTACTGCCCCATCAGTTAATTACAGAAGTGACCACGCTGCACACATGGCTAGCAGCACCCAGCTGTATGTATGTGTGTGTATATACCTTAGTCTGAGGGATCCAAGATCCAGTTTTTCCTGAGAACAAACACAGTTGTCAGATTCTTTGGCCTTTGGGCCAGGTTTTTCTGGTGTATAAACTTGGATAAATTATTCAGTGTATTTATGTTCTGCTTGCAATTAAATAAACCATACTAAAATAATTTGTGATTTAATAGCACTCTCCCAGGCTTTCTACAGGTGGTTGTCAGATTTGCTGCTTGTTTTTTGAAGTTTTTATTGTCTTGGATTTTGCCTTTGATTCAGTGAAGTGTATATTTTTCCAAAGGTATCCAAGAGTTATGGGTTCCTCTGGGTAAGTTAGCTGCACTTTTGGTTTCTTTGAAGTTTTTAAATTAATTTGCTAGAGTGTTGCAGTTACATGTGCAAAGTGGAGATTTTCTTTTTAACATAAAAAAGTTGTTTTTATAGATATTCTTAACCATTCACAAGATCAAGTAACTGTATATTTCATTTTATCTGAAAGCTGATTATCTAAGGAATATAACTTAGCATATGAGCAAAAAAATTTAATCCAGTTTTTCCTGAGAACAAACACAGTTGTCAGATTCTTTGGCCTTTGGGCCAGGTTTTTCTGAGGTATAAACTTGGATAAATTATTCAGTGTATTTATGTTCTGCTTGCAATTAAATAAACCATACTAAAATAATTTGTGATTTAATAGCACTCTCCCAGGCTTTCTACAGGTGGTTGTCAGATTTGCTGCTTGTTTTTTGAAGTTTTTATTGTCTTGGATTTTGCCTTTGATTCAGTGAAGTGTATATTTTTCCAAAGGTATCCAAGAGTTATGGGTTCCTCTGGGTAAGTTAGCTGCACTTTTGGTTTCTTTGAAGTTTTTAAATTAATTTGCTAGAGTGTTGCAGTTACATGTGCAAAGTGGAGATTTTCTTTTTAACATAAAAAAGTTGTTTTTATAGATATTCTTAACCATTCACAAGATCAAGTAACTGTATATTTCATTTTATCTGAAAGCTGATTATCTAAGGAATATAACAGCATATGAGCAAAAAAATTTGTTACATGTTGTTTTGAAGACATTAGAAGTTAGGTATGAAGAAGGTCTGTTAGCAGGAATCTAAGACCCTATTTTTGGCCATAAACAGATATTTTGTAATTAAACTTCAGAAAAGCAGAGGAATGTGGCTGAGGTGAAAGAACCGTCTTAAAATAATGTTTGCCTCAGTCACGAATTGGAGCTTCATAGTCCAGAATGTTATTGTGAAACAGAACAAAAATAAATATGTGATGTGTTCTCTGAACAATAGTCAGTTCTGAGTAATATTCTAGGAAAGAAAAATTCATAATTTTGAAAATACACATTTCAGATAACTGTATTATGTTTGTCAGGATTCATAGTTTGGGTTTTGTTTTCAACAGATATTAGAAGAAAATGTGTTTTGTTCTTGTGTTTAGGATTCTTTATTCCTTTAGAGGCTTTAGTACTTTATTAAATAAATTGAACAACTAGAATTCAGAAGAATTGAAACTTCTCAAGAGATCTCCCTTTGAAAAAGAGGGCATGAGTACGTGTGATAAATAACCAAGTATATTGCATGGCAAGTTAGAAGAGGATGTGGCTCGCTTATTCTCACTTACTAAAAAAAAATGTAGAGCAAAGGTTAAGTAGGGGACTACAAAGCAGTCAAAATGTGGGAGCTCAGATAGCCTTGTATAATTCTGCTTGCTGGTGGATGCAGTTATTAGTTTGGTAACTATAAATAAGTAAATAGATTTGGATTTTCTGTAAAATACTGCTAGACTGACATGAGTGTAGTTCTGCAAAATAACCCAGGAGGATGCAGAGAAGAAATTATTGGGGGGGGGGGGGGGTGGAGAAAAAAGTCAAGAAACCTCACAAATAAAAAATCCCAAGTTTGTTTTTAAATACAGACCAGCTTATATTGTATGGTTCCTGGCTGATGATTTGCTTAAGATGTAGAAATAACATTTTTTCCCTTGTGTTGTTCAATTCTGTGTTTCCTAATTCAGCACTTTTGGAGACATTTCCATTTATGCAGTCATACACTAGAGTTCCCCTCTGCAGGTTCATGGTCATCTGTTAGTGCTGCAGCTGTCAAAATAACATCATACAGCAGTTTAGGATTGTGGCTACTGCTATTGGTAGCTGCTACTGTTGTGACAGCCAAAAGACCAAATAGGTGGCATAAGTCCACTGAGCATTGCTAGGAAACTCTAAGACTTCTGTTTTCAGCCATGTTGTGTTTGCAGTCCATTTTTGTGCACCCTTTCATTTACCATGTATATTTGAAATACACAGCTTCAGTTTTGACGCTATTGAGGGTTGTTGCCAGCTCATGATGGCTTCTGTTATTAGAAATATGCTCACTTTCTCAGTCCTCAGTGCTTTACCAGGAGGAGTTCACATAATACTCATTATTATCTGATGTTAACTCTGGAGCCCTCAATGTGTGGTTTTTTTATCTTTTAGAGTGAAGACTGGAACGGCTGGACGGAGGTGCGTAGCTGCAGGTATGAACCAGCTAAAGTTTGTATCCCTCAGTTGCATAGTGGAGCTTCCTTGTTAAGGTTTAGAGAGATGTTGTTTTACATTCAGTGATGAAAGCAGTCATTTTCCACTGCAATGAGCAGTGCTCCCTGAACCTTAAACTCTGCAGTTTCCTGTCTTTGTACTGCCAAAGGGGGTTGGGAGTGTTAACAGTTCAGGGCCATGAGTACTGAGTCAATAGATGTCTTTAACTCCATCTGTAATTTAATAATTTTAGAAACATAACTGTAAAGTAGAAATGCATGTCTTGCATGCATTTGTTCTGGTTAAGAAATAGTAATTTCTTGACCAGAACAAATCTGCAGTATTCTGTAATACACGTAACCCGAAAGGTGAGTATTAGTAGAACAACTTCTTCTAGGATTATGTGCAGTAGAACAGGAACATAGTCCATTATGAAAATGCATGAGTCTAATGTGAGGATCTTTGGGTGCAATTTTCTTCATGGTAGAAGTCCAGTAAGGGTGTAGTTTCATGTGACAGCTGAGACAATTGCCCCTTCTCAGTTTCCAGCTCAGAGTTTAGTGCTGTGTCCTTTGGTTATGTTTGGTTCTCATGGTAGCTTGCATTATAGATGGAGTCAGCTTGACAACCCAGTAAAAAGCTCTTCTTTGATCAAGTTGTTTCTCTGGTTTAGGAAGTTGGAATGATTTACTGTGTGGTCAGAGGAGTACAAAAGAACGTATCAGACTGTTTGTACTGTGCACCTCAAGAGTTTCAGTTAATTTCTGAGACAATTGACCTGTAACTACTGTGTTAAGTAACACTATCAGTATCACCACAACCAAAGTTTGGTGATTTTTTTTCTTCCAGTGAATTACCTCTGCTGTGGCAGAAATATTTAAGGTGTGTTTTGGTCTGTAGACAACCACAGAGAATTGAGTTTTTATATTGTCTTGAGGAAAGAGTTGTTTTCTGCTATGGACAGACATTTGCTACAGTTTTCATAAATGTTGGGAAGGATTTGGTTATGTCTATATCAGAAAGAAAAACAAATTTGTCTTTAAAGTGCAGGATATCCTGTCTCTCCATATGTTACTCATCAGGGTAGAAAGATCTAAAGCTGGTTTAAGAAATCCAGGAATATCTTCATTTTCAAGTGATTTTTTAGAGAATTGGTGATTGACCTCTGTGTTTGGAAGTACCACTTTGAGGACATTTGTCTTCAAGCATTGTGTGGGTTGCAAAACACTCAATTTCTTTTCTAATGAGTGGTGCTCTGCTCTTCCTGCTCCTTTGCTGTCCATTAGGACGATACAGAAGACTGAAAGAGAGAATACTAATTATTAGGTTTGTGGCTTTTTTTCTGAAGAATTTGCATCTTTTGAGACAGACTAAACTGATTTAACCTAGTTTTTCAAACTCATGGGGTTCTCCAATTGCAAAACCCAGGTCCAGAACCAATATATTTGGATTACTTAAATAAAAAACCAATCAGATATTTAAGTAGCAAGATAATCACCAAGTTTCTGGTTGATGAAAAGAAGTTGCTTTGTTTTGGTGCAAGATTCGTGGTTTCTCATCTTAAGACCAACATAAAGTTGAATTCATCTGCGTAATTGTGAATAAGAAAGGTGACCAAATGGAAGAGGATGGAGTCTTTTCTTGAACATCCAATAATGGTATATAAAATTGTTTGTATATATTCCAGTATGAAATGTCTCATCATGGTTACCACTACAGAGATATATATCAGGATGTACAGAGATATACATCAGAATAAAACTGATGGCATTCTACTTCTGGTCTGATACAGAGAATAAAAATGAGGAGGAGTCAGCTTTGCGATAAGGAGTCAATCCTACCTCTGTGTTGACTTTTGTCATATACACATTTACCATGCTGAAACATGTCTGTGTTCAAATAAAATTTCTGCATATATGAACCCCTTCTAAAATGGAAGTCTTTAGCATGGAGATAAAAATGGGCATTAAAAGATTGTAGATTGTGATCTTAAGAGCCCTCTCCATCCTTAAAAATTCCATGACTAGAGTCTAGAGAGAGACTAGGCTCTTGACATGATGTCATGACAGAGTTCAACCATTTACCTAACACTGCCAAGTCTGTCTCTAAACCTGTCCCTACACGTTTTTCAAGTACCTCCAGGGATGGAGATTTTAACACTTCTCTGGGCAGCCTGTTCCAATGCTTGACAAGCCTTTCAGTAAAAAAATTGTTCCTAATATCCAACCTAAACTTCTTCTGGTGTGACTTGAGGTCATTTTGTCTGGTCTTGTTACTTGGGAGAAAAGTCTGACCCACACCTCAGCACAACATCCTTTTAGTAGTTGTAAAGAGAATAAAGTCTCCCTTCATCCTCCTTTTCTCCAGGCTGAACAACCCCAGCTCATTCAAGTTCCCCCTGTAAGACTTGTGCTCTAGAGCCTTCCCCAGCTCCATTGCTCTTCTCTGGATGTGCTCCAGCACTTCTGTGTCCTTTTTGTAGTGAGGAGCCTAAAACTGGGCACAACTCTTGAGGTGTGGCCTCACCAGTGCCAAGTACAGGGGGACAATCCTGGTCCTGCTGGCCACACTGCTGCTGATCCAGGCCAGGATGCCATTGGCCTTCTTGGCCACCTGGGCACTGCTGGCTCATGTTCAACAGCTTTTGACCAACCTTCCTAGGTCCTACTCTGCTGGGCAGCTTTCCAGCCTGCTTCCCCCAGCCTGTAGTGCCACGTGGGGTTGTTGTGACCCAAGTGCAGGACCTGACACTTCACCTTGTTGAGCTGCACACAGTTGGCCTCAGTCTGTGGATCCAGCCTACCCTGATCTCTCTGCGGGGCTTTCCTGTCCTCCCTCGATCAACACTCCCACACAGCTTGGTGATGCCTGCACACTTGCTGAGGATGCACTTGATCCCTTCATTCAGATCGTTGGTAACGAGATTAAACAGGACTGGCCCCAGTGTGGAGCTCTGGGGATCACCACTGGTGACCAGCCATCAGCTGGATGTAGCTGCATTCTGCACAACTCTCTGGGCCCAGCACTCCAGCCAGCTTTTACCCAGCAAGGAGTACACCCATTCACATCATGGAAAGTCACCCTGTCCAGGAGAGGGTGCTGTGGGAAACAGAATCAAAGGGTTTATTGGAATTTAAGTAGAAAACATCAAAAGTCTTTCCCTCATCCATTCAGCAGGTCACCTTGACATAGGAGATCAGGTTGGTCAAGCAGGACCTGCCTTTCAGAAACCCCTGCTGGCTGGGCCTGATGCCCTTCTTGCTCTGTGTGTGTTGTGTAATGGCACTCAGGATGATCAGCTCTATGACCTTCCCAACCCAGAGGTCAGGTTCACAGGCCTGTGGTTCCCCAGTTCCTCCTTTCAACCCTTCATGTAAATAGAGTGTAACATTTGCTAACTTCCAGTCAACTGGGGCCCTCCCAGTCAACTGAGAGCCCCTGTCCAGGCTACATTTCAACTTTCTTTGGGTAATGTGCAACAAAAAGCTTTCCTTTGGATAAAATGAAATGAGAGAGAAATAGTGACACTTTTTGCAGTATAATATTAACAGATTCTTGTTTATCAGTATCTGCTACTATTCATAAAAAGTTTGAGATGAAAGGACTTCTCAAAATGGCTTGTCCAGCTGTTCTGATGGCCACAAAGGACAGTGAAACTTGAGACTTGTTGCATCTAGTCCAAAATGTCTCTTGAAACTCAGAAGAAAAAAAAAAGGCTATTAGAAAAAATTTATATGTGTCTAAGTGCTATTCTAAGACATTTCAGTAAGGCAAATAATAATTTGTAGTTTGTTCCTTTGAGTTAAGATAGCATATTACATTTCTTAAGTAAAAAAAAAGTTACTCTGGCCTGTTCTTACTTTAATCTTTTAGTTTACATTTGCACAATATGCGTTGATTGCCATAAACTTAAAAGCATTTTTTGATTCATAGGTTCTCCTCCTACAGGTTAATATAAATAATATAAAAATATAACTATCTTTGTATATGGTATTGTCTTGGAATTGTATAGCTGATTCTGTTGTTCCCCTTGGTCCAATATGCAACCACACAGCCTTCTCTGTGTAAATGTAGTTGCTTTGCCTGCTGTAATGCTTTATGGTATGTTTGGCTTGAGGACAAGCAGACTGTTGAGACCTTTCCAAGAATGACTGGATTTCCAGGTCCTTACTAGAGGAATAACTTCTGGCTCTGTTTCAGTGTCAGAAGACTGTCCTAAAACGTGTAGATGAGTCCTTAAAAATCTGGTGAATATTGTAGAGATTGCAAAATGGTTTTTTCCAATGTATCTTTTTGACTAAGTACAGAACTTCAGATTCACGTCATATAGGAAAGGACAGAAAAATACAGGAATATCTGAAACCAGATTTATAGGTACTGCGTTTGTATTGACAAGGTAAAAAAAGTTGAAATAAGGTTTTCTGTTCCATAGAATTGCTTGCAGGATTGTTTCTTGCACAAAAAGTTGGCCAGAAGTTTATCTTCAACTATGTCTATCTTAAAGAGAAAAAAAACAAAAACCAAACTCAGAGGCGACATTTAGGAGAGAGAAAGAGGGCAAAGACACACTTAAGTGGAAGCTGTACCTTGCCTTCAGCACAAGATTGCTTGCAAGCATTATATTTTTGTTCTCTTGCAGTAAAGATTTCAGCATTGAAGTGCAAGTGTGATTTGCTGTCTGTATTTCTGTGTCTCAGGGTCTGAATTCAGTCAGTAAACAGAAAGAAATTGTGCCAGGTGAAAACTCAAACCTTGCTGCTGCCTGAAATGTTTCATCCTGTCCTCTGTCCTTCCACAGGGTAGAAATGTGTGTCCTCTCTTCTTATACTCATTTCCTGCTTTGTCTCCTGTGTCATACAGCTGCCTTCATTTCCTCTTACTATTGTTGTGACCAAGCCACTTTTCCTACTTTCTCAAGAAGTTTTTTCTGTCTGCAGTGCCCAAGTGTCTACAGGTCTTTCCGATCTCTCTTAGGTATTTAAGGTTTCCATAGTTTTTT